CGTCTGTGTGCTGACTGTTTGTCTGGCCAGAGGTATTTACCTGTTTGATAATTGTATTGAAGATGAAGGAATAATGTTTGATTGAACAGCATGTTTCCTGTCCACAGTCTCTGCTCTTCCAGCTGGTGAATAGAAGCTGCAGAGGAGACTGAGAGTTGAACACATTTGATTGTATGAAGTGTTTCTTCTCTCTGTCTGACACTAAACCTTTCATTATAATGTGTCCTACAGATCTGTCTCCCAATGAGATCTCCTTAAAGAAAGCCTTTGCACCTCTCCAGTCGATGGAGTCCATGTTAGACCGAGATGCTAGAGAAGGTGAGCCCTACAGGCTCAAAAGTCAACAGTATGTGCCGCATTAAAGTGGTGGATCTGAAAGCTGGGAAATATGAGATGAACTCAAGATATTTAAACCGTGTATAAAAGGGTTTCAAACATTATGATCTCTGTATGTCTTATACCAAGTGAAGACCCCCAGCCTTTGAGCAGCACTATGGGGGGATAATGCTTTAAACTGGTTTTAAAAACTTGAAATTGGGCAGATGTGTGTATTTGATGGCCATCCCATGATATATTGTGCATGTTGATGCCATGCGTTTCAGAAATGTCGCGCCAAATTGAAGAACTTTGAGAATTGATCTTAAAAACGGTCCTCAATCCAACAAATGCCACATTAAAAAAAAGCAAGAATGAAAAGAAACCTACAGAACAATTCACGCTGTGATTTCAGTCGACGTATAACATCACGTGATTTCTTTTGGTTCTTCATTTGTTAATCAATACTTCTTTCTTTCAGTACAACTGGAAACCAATGACGTGGAAGCTGAGGCGTCTGGTCACCAGAATCCTGAACAAAAGCCCCAGAGCGTCAACGAGACAACAAATGTCCAGAACCAGGTCGTAACCAGGGACAACGGCACGACGGGGGGCGTCCAGAACCGGGTCGTCATTAGGGGAAATTCCACTGCGGGGCGTGACCTAAAATGGGTCATCATAGGAGGCGACTCCAGAACTGAGGACGTCCAGAACCGGGTCGTCATTAGAGGAAACGCCACGGCGGTGGGCGTCCAGAACTTGGTCATCATTAAGGACAAAGCCAAGACGGGGGGCGTCCAGAACCTGATCGTCATTAGTGAAACCGCCACAGCAGAGGCTGTCCAGAACCGGGTCGTCATTAGGGGAGTGGCCAAGGAGGGGGACGTCCAGAAATGGGTCGTCATTGGGGTAGACTCCACGACTGGGGACGTCCAGAACCGGTTTGTCATTTGGGGCGAAGCAACGACGGGGGGTGTCCAGCAGAACCTGGTTCCCATGGACAACGGCACGACGGGGGGCGTCCAGCAGAACAACGGCACAACGGGGGGTGTCCAGCAGAACAACGGCTCGACGGGGGGTGTCCAGCATGAGCACAAAGGTGAGCTCTAAAGGCCAAAAAGACAACAGCATGTGTCTCATGAAAGTGGTGTCACAGATCTGAAATCTGTGAAATGTATGATTTTAATTTGAAACACAGCAATGTCAAGCTAATCGTGTGTCAGAGCTAAAACAAACCACTTGCATGTCTTATAAGTTAACGCATCAATGCTTGGTTGCTGAATTCACTGCCAACGTCGCTCATTTTTCACAAATACAGGATTTATTAAGTAACCAAGAATTCATGCTGTGACTTCAGTCGAGAGAACATCATTTATTGTCTTGACGTCCATCATTTATGACTCAAATGTTTTTCAGTACTCCTGGATACCCATGAAGTAGACGAGCAGTTGTTGAATGGGACGATGAGCGAAGAGGAAAAGTTCAACGAGACGACGAGCGAAGAGGAACAGTTCAACGAGACGATGACCGACGAGGAAAAGTTGAACGGGACGACGAGCGAAGAGGAAAAGTTGAACGGGACGACGAGCGAAGAGGAAAAGTTGAACGGGACGACGAGCGAAGGGGAAAAGTTGAACGGGACGACGAGCGAAGAGGAAAAGTTGAACGGGACGACGAGCGAAGAGGAACAGTTCAACGAGACGACGAGCGAAGAGGAACAGTTCAACGAGACGACGAGCGAAGAGGATCAGTTCAACGAGACGACGAGCGAAGAGGAACAGTTCAACGAGACGACGAGCGAAGAGGATCAGTTCAACGAGACGACGAGCGAAGAGGATCAGTTCAACGGGACGACGAGCGAAGAGGAAAAGTTCAACGGGACGACGAGCGAAGAGGAAAAGTTCAACGGGACGACGAGCGAAGAGGAAAAGTTCAACGGGACGATCAATACATATCATAGATTCATCTCTTCTTTTTGAGTGCCTTGAAGAGCTCGATATCTGAGTTGTTATCTTAGCAGCAATATAATAAAGCGTGTATACATTTCTTGAATAACAGCGTGTCAATCCAATGTTTGTATTGCAATGCTTGGCTCTTATCATGCAGACATCTTCCCTTAACAGTCCAATGAAAGCTCATCAGGACTAGAACAGTCTTTAACTCTCATGCTACATAGGATTAGCATACATTGGTCATGTCAGTAAAAGGGAGAAGATTAAACGTGCAATGTTTTGAGAAATGTTCATTAGAAAACCTTGCCATCCTTCCAAATGCAGCCTTTATTGCAGGTTAGTCTGAAGTATGCACTTCTCTGTGCTGGACTATAACAAGATGCTAAAAAGGTGGTCTATTATAACAATTTAGACTCAAAAGAAAAGTCAAGAATAAAAACTTGGTAAACCCAATTCAGGGTTTCTCAATCTTCTAAACCTGGCACTCAAAATATAAATGTTTCTTTTCAGCATTTATTTTCAATCTGTATTTGCCAGATAGAAACACACATTTCTAAAATAACCATATCCTGCTGACAACTGAAATCAGCACCGTTAAAAAATGCTTTATTAATAACATACATTTGCCAAACATAACGACACATTAGCGAGGACCTTTTGAATGTTTTCTGAAGTCTCGCAGTTTGTAAATCGAAGGTGTGCTTCTTCCCATTCCTGTATTGGTCCAAGTAGCATTTTAAAAACAGGTTTTTTTTTAAGTTTAATGTTATTTTAAACATTCTTATTTTGAGAGTTAATTTAAAAATGTTTTTCTCATTTAAAGGGATTTTAACAGTTTATTTTAAAGTTTCTTATTTTGAGAAATGTATAATATAAAATGTTTTAAGTAGTTCTCCAGAAATATTCTCGTCTGTATTTTCCAAAGATAAATCTCACATTTTAGAAATAACCATATCCTCCTGCAGGTTTTCTACTTAACACATCCGATAAGTGGAATATGCCGTCTACTTTAAAGGGGACCTATCATGCAAAATGCACTTGTGTACGTCTTTTATACATGAATATGTGTCCCCGGTGTTCCAGGGAACTCACCAAGTGTCAGAAAACACAACCCTCTCTATTTTCCTCCATACCCAAATCTCTAAAAAAGGGGCTGCAACGGATCTGATAAAAACTGATCCAGATTTGAACACTGTCCTGACGTCAGGACTGTGGCGCTATACGGCTATTGGGCCAACTCCACCAATCAGGAGGAGACAGCCACGGCCATTGCCGTTCGAAAGCGCTGGAGACGCTGTAGTACATATGCCAGGCCTCTAGGTGGTGCTGTTCTCACTGAATCAGCCCTTGCAAAAACAGAGCTAGAAATTGTCAAATTGAGCGAAATGAGGCATGGCTAAAATGCATGATCTGTTTGGTATTTTGAAAAAAAGAAAGTATAAATATGCCTTATATAGGTATGGTCCTACACTATATTATTATAATATAGCATGATAGGTCCACTTTAACATCAATAATGTACAACTATTGCAATAAAAATAAAAATTAACAAAGACTCGTCAATAAAAACATGGTTTTCCCATCAAGGATGCACAATCATTTAAACCTGTCTCTACAACTTTAGGACATGTTCTGTATTTGCCTTGTTTATTACGTTACATGTCATTTGTTCGACGCTTTTATCCAAAGCGACTAACATACAGTCAGTACTGTGGACAATCCCCACAGGAGCACTTTGGGGTGAAGTGTCTCAGGGACACAACGACATGCAGACTGCAGTGGCACTCGAACTTGCTATCCCCTGTTTCGAAGTCCAGCACACTATCCACTGAGCCACAGCCTCCCATATTGATAACAACATAAATTTACGAGGATTACTCATTAAATCCCGTAGCTGTGCTTCTTCCTGTTCCAGGTAGCATTGGAACAACTGTTTTATTTGAAGTACTTCTGCTTTACAGCACTTTAAATGTTTATCCTGAGCAGTATAAGTTATATTTTTGCCCATTTTATTTTAATATTTTGCAAGGAATAAGCAAATGTGCATGTTGTGTTTTACAGCAGTGTGTCAACAGGTATAAACAACCTCTGAAATGTTCGAATCGACCAATCAGAATCAAGTATTACAGGAGGGAGTTGTTAATGTTATTTATTTATTTTGTATTGCATTTTTTGTTTTCTGAAGAGGAAGGGTATTTTCAAAACATATTTAATGGAGCTTTTTCAGAGTTTTTACCTAGTATCAGATTGTATATATATATGTGTCTAGAGATATATATATTTATATATAAATATATATATATATATATATATATATATATATATATATATATATATATATATATAAATATATATGTCTAGACATATATATTTATATATATATGTCTAGACATATATATTTATATATATATGTCTAGAAAGGTTCAGCCCTAATCATGCAGACATGTTTAAATATAAGATATACGATTTGTAATGGGTGGGATTGATATAAAGTTGGCATGTCTGTAAAAGGGAGAAAAGTAAAAACTCAATATATGAATATTTAATATATTTAATGTGAATTTAAAATGATGGTCTCTACTAATCATACATGCACAACAAGCTCCATGAAAAGCTGCTCATTGTCAGAGTGTACTCTCAGAGAAATGGTGTGTTCCTCTGTGCAGAGAGCCAATCAGTGCTGATCAGCAGCAGCTGCTGGAGGCTTCTTTAAGCTGGCTGCTGCTCAGGCAACACTCTCTTGGGAAACTGCAGAGATGGCAGCTGTTTGGATGCTCGTCTGTGTGCTGACTGTTTGTCTGGCCAGAGGTATTTACCTGTTTGATAATTGTATTGAAGATGAAGGAATAATGTTTGATTGAACAGCATGTTTCCTGTCCACAGTCTCTGCTCTTCCAGCTGGTGAATAGAAGCTGCAGAGGAGACTGAGAGTTGAACACATTTGATTGTATGAAGTGTTTCTTCTCTCTGTCTGACACTAAACCTTTCATTATAATGTGTCCTACAGATCTGTCTCCCAATGAGATCTCCTTAAAGAAAGCCTTTGCACTTTTCCAGTCGATGGAGTCCATGTTAGACCGAGATGCTAGAGAAGGTGAGCCCTACAGGCTCAAAGGTCAACAGTATGTGCCGCATTAAAGTGGTGGATCTGAAAGCTGGGAAATATGAGATGAACTCAAGATATTTAAACCGTGTATAAAAGGGTTTCAAACATTATGATCTCTGTATGTCTTATACCAAGTGAAGACCCCCAGCCCTCGAGGAGCACTATGGGGGGATAATGCTTTAAACTGGTTTTAAAAACTTGAAATTGGGCAGATGTGTGTATTTGATGGCCATCCCATGATATATTGTGCATGTTGATGCCATGCGTTTCAGAAATGTCGTGCCAAATTGAAGAACTTTGAGAATTGATCTTAAAAACGGTCCTCAATCCAACAAATGCCACATTAAAAAAAAAAGCAAGAATGAAAAGAAACCTACAGAACAGTTCACGCTGTGATTTCAGTCGACGTATAACATCAAATGATTTCTTTTGGTTCTTCATTTGTTAATCAATCCTTCTTTCTTTCAGTACAACTGGAAACCAATGACGTGGAAGCTGAGGCGTCTGGTCACCAGAATCCTGAACAAAAGCCCCAGAGCGTCAACGAGACAACAAATGTCCAGAACCAGGTCGTAACCAGGGACAACGGCACGACGGGGGGCGTCCAGAACCGGGTCGTCATTAGGGGAAATTCCACTGCGGGGCGTGACCTAAAATGGGTCATCATAGGAGGCGACTCCACAACTGAGGACGTCCAGAACCGGGTCGTCATTAGAGGAAATGCCACGGCGGGGGGCGTCCAGAACTTGGTCATCATTAAGGACAAAGCCAAGACGGGGGGCGTCCAGAACCTGATCGTCATTAGCGAAACCGCCACAGCAGAGGCTGTCCAGAACCGGGTCGTCATTAGGGGAGTGGCCAAGGAGGGGGACGTCCAGAAATGGGTCGTCATTGGGGTAGACTCCACGACTGGGGACGTCCAGAACCGGTTTGTCATTTGGGGCGAAGCAACGACGGGGGGTGTCCAGCAGAACAACGGCACGACGGGGGGCGTCCAGCAGAACAACGGCACGACGGGGGGCGTCCAGCAGAACAACAGCACGACGGGGGGTGTCCAGCATGAGCACAAAGGTGAGCTCTAAAGGCCAAAAAGACAACGGCATGTGTCTCATGAAAGTGGTGTCACAGATCTGAAATCTGTGAAATGTATGATTGAATTTGAAACGCAGCAATGTCAAGCTAATCACGTATCAGAGCTAAAACAAACCACTTGCATGTCTTATAAGTTAATGCATCAATGCTTGGTTGCTGAATTCACTGCCAACGTCGCTCATTTTTCACAAATACAGGATTTATTAAGTAACCAAGAATTCATGCTGTGACTTCAGTCGAGAGAACATCATTTATTGTCTTGACGTCCATCATTTATGACTCAAATGTTTTTCAGTACTCCTGGATACCCATGAAGTAGACGAGCAGTTGTTGAACGGGACGATGAGCGAAGAGGAAAAGTTCAACGAGACGACGAGCGAAGAGGAAAAGTTCAACGAGACGACGAGCGAAGAGGAAAAGTTCAACGGGACGACGAGCGAAGAGGAAAAGTTCAACGAGACGACGAGCGAAGAGGAAAAGTTCAACGAGACGACGAGCGAAGAGGAAAAGTTCAACGAGACGATGAGCGAAGAGGAAAAGTTCAACGAGACGACGAGCGAAGAGGAAAAGTTCAACGAGACGACGAGCGAAGAGGAAAAGTTCAACGGGACGACGAGCGAAGAGGAAAAGTTCAACGGGACGACGAGCGAAGAGGAAAAGTTCAACGGGACGACGAGCGAAGAGGAACAGTTCAACGAGACGATCAATACATATCATAGATTCATCTCGTATTTTTTGAGTGCCTTGAAGAGCTCGATATCTGAGTTGTTATCTTAGCAGCAATATAATAAAGCGTGTATACATTTCTTGAATAACAGCGTGTCAATCCAATGTTTGTATTGCAATGCTTGGCTCTTATCATGCAGACATCTTCCCTTAACAGTCCAATGAAAGCTCATCAGGACTAGAACAGTCTTTAACTCTCATGCTACATAGGATTAGCATACATTGGTCCTGTCAGTAAAAGGGAGAAGATTAAACGTGCAATGTTTTGAGAAATGTTCATTAGAAAACCTTGCCATCCTTCCAAATGCAGCCTTTATTGCAGGTTAGTCTGAAGTATGCACTTCTCTGTGCTGGACTATAACAAGATGCTAAAAAGGTGGTCTATTATAACAATTTAGACTCAAAAGAAAAGTCAAGAATATAAACTTGGTAAACCCAATTCAGGGTTTCTCAATCTTCTAAACCTGTCACTCAAAATATAAATGTTCAGTTTCAATGTTCAAATCTGTATTTGCCAGATAGAAACACACATTTCTAAAATAACCATATCCTGCTGACAACTGAAATCAGCACCGTTAAAAAATGCTTTATTAATAACTTACATTTGCCAAACATGACGACACATTAGCGAGGACCTTTGAATGTTTTCTGAAGTCTCGTAGTTTGTAAATCGAAGGTGTGCTTCTTCCCATTCCTGTATTCGTCCAAGTAGCATTTTAAAAACGTTTTTTTTTAAGTTTAATGTTATTTTAAACATTCTTTTGAGTTAATTTAAAAATGTTTTTCTCATTTAAAGGGATTTTAACAGTTTATTTTAAAGTTTCTTATTTTGAGAAATGTATAATATAAAATGTTTCAAGTAGTTCTTCAGAAATATTCTCGTCAGTATTTTCCAGAGATAAATCTCACATTTTAGAAATAACCATATCCTCCTGCAGGTTTTCTACCTGACACATCCGATAAGTGGAATATGCCGTCTACTTTAACATCAATAATGTACAACTATTGCAATAAAAATTTAAATTAACAAAGACTCATTTAAACCTGTCTCTACAACTTTAGGACATGTTCTGTATTTGCCTTGTTTTTATAACCATATCCAGCTGCCTGGTTTCTACTAAGAAACAGATCCAATTAGTGGAGAAAAAACCCTACAACTGTAAATCGGCACGATTGAAAATTGCTTTATTACGTTACATGTCATTTGTTCAACCCGGTATCACGGCAAGAAGTGAACATGTGACGATCTACCACGCTGGGAGACGTGAATATGTCACGGTTTCGTCCCTTCAAACGTGACAGTTACACGGTATTGTTAACATGGCCCAACCAGTGGAGAAATACCCGGAAGTGCCAAGCAAATGCTCTACCAAGACTATTGGTCGGTTTTTATTGTCAAAATTAGATGTTTTTAATTTATTTTTTAATCGTCACACTCGATTTCGCCGATTTTCTTGTTGCCCTAGCTGGTCGACACCTCTTTTAGCAGAAACAAAGGCTACAGTAATGTATTAAATCGATGTTAATCCATGTGTGTGGATGTGGAATTAACAGACGTGACGTTGTGCGATTGCGTTGCCAGGCAACAGCTTCGGTTCATGTTCATTTACAAACTCTTCAACTAGAACCGTAGTTATATTTAAAAACATTTTAGAAGGCCTCACGAAATACTTGTACATGTACATTTTAATTTAAATGTGAAGGAATGTGTGTATAACAAAATACAAACGTCATAAAAAATACCGGAAACAGACGTAGGCAAGGTCCTCAGCTCGGTGATTCGATGGTTTAGCCGCAATGCACGTTGGGAAATGGTGTTTATGCGATGTAAAATCCGAAAACGATGGGGTCAACGAGACGGCGACCGTCTTGTCGTACGTTCTCGACAAGACGGTGCCGACAAGACGGTGCCGACAAGACGGTGCCAACGAGACGGCGATTATAGAGAACCGACTCCACGATGGGGCCAACGAGACGGCGAGTCTGGAGAACTTTCGCCACGACCGGGTCAACGAGACGGATAACGTTCGCCACAACGGGGTCAACGAGACGGATAACGTTCGCCATGACGGGGTCAACAGGTCGGATAACGATCACCACGAATGGCTCAATGAGAAGGATAACGATCGAGACTACGCGGTCAACGAGACGGATAACGATCAAGACTACGCGGTCAACGAGACGGATAACGTTCGCCACGACGGGGTCAACGAGACGGAGAACGTTCGCCACGACTGGGTCAACGAGACGGATAACGTTCGACACGATGGGGTCAACGAGACGGATAAGGTCAGCCACGACGGGGTCAACGGATAAGGTCAGCCACGACGGGGTCAACGAGACGGATAACGTTCGACACGACGGGGTCAATGAGACGGATAAGGTCAGCCACGACGGGGTCAACGAGACGGATAAGGTCAGCCACGACGGGGTCAACGAGACGGATAAGGTCAGCCACGACGGGGTCAACGAGACGGATAACGTTCGACACGACGGGGTCAATGAGACGGATAACGTTCGACACGACGGGGTCAATGAGACGGATAACGTTCGATACAACGGGGTCAACGAGACGGAGAACGTTCGCCACGACTGGGTCAACAGGTCGGATAACGTTCGATACGACGGGGTCAACGAGACGGCGATTGTCGAGAACGTACGACAAGACTGTGCCGACAAGACGGTGCCAACGAGACGGCGATTGTAGAGAACCGACTCCACGATGGGGTTAACGAGACGGCGAGTCTGGAGAACTTTCGCCACGACGGGGTCAACGAGCCGGATAACGTTCGACACGACGGGGTCAACGAGCCGGATAACGTTCGATACAACGGGGTCAACGAGACGGAGAACGTTCGCCACGACGGGGTCAACGAGCCGGATAACGTTCGACACGACGGGGTCAACGAGCCGGATAACGTTCGATACAACGGGGTCAACGAGACGGAGATCGTTCGCCACGACGGGGTCAACGTGACGGAGATCGTTCGCCACGACGGGGTCAACGTGACGGAGAACGTTCGCCACAACTGGGTCAACAGGTCGGATAACGTTCGATACGACGGGGTCAACGAGACGGCGATTGTCGAGAACGTACGACAAGACGGTGCCGACAAGACGGTGCCAACGAGACGGCGATTGAAGAGAACCGACTCCACGATGGCGCCAACGAGACGGCGAATCTGGAGAACTTTCGCTACGACCGGGTCAATGAGACGGCGATTATCGAGCATTTATCTTTGCCATAAAATAAAACTTTCATTAATAAATCTGTTTCTGTTTTATTTTCCAAATATCAAAAAACTTTATTTTTAGAGTATCTTATACTATTATTAGTGTATTTCTGCTTAATATTCAAATGTGACAGAACTGCTGGTGAAACATCAGTTTTTTTAATCCATTAGTCAAACTTGGAGCCTTTTGTTCTTCAATAACATGTCATCTTTTAGACCAGTGGACAGAACTTATAGAATCTGTATTTAGGGTTTTCTTTTACAAAATGTCTGTAGACTAAAAACTGACCTAAATATTTAAAATGCAGTGGCGAGCCGTCAGGGCCCTCTAGGCCCTCTGTGAGGGCCTAAGATATTCCAAAAAATAATATTTAAAAACATTAAAAAAAAAATTTTTTTTTAAAAATATATATATTTTTTATATTATTTTTGTTATATTTTTCATTAGTTTTACGGAAAAAAAAACTTGATTTAATAAAATAACATTTCCAAAGAAATAAATCCTTCGAATCTGCCTGTTCGGTCTCTGTTTGAATGTGAAGGGTTACATGAAAGAAGGTCTGGCCCTCTCTGCGATTCACAGAGGGCCCGCTATAGTAACTGAACGAGAGAGTAATGTCAAATGACAGTACAATTGACCAATCATATCTTCCCTCTAAATGGGTGGGTTTCATTATCGCGGACTTTATGACAAGATCCGCCCGCTGTGAAACTTTTCTTGTTTCCATAGGAACAACAACTTCCTGTCAACAGCGTGAACTCGCCTTCAAAATAAAAGCATGCCAAATTACACGTAAGACATACAACTGTAACGAAAGTAACAAACACAATGCAATATCATTTTCAATGTCAAAGAACACAAATTGGGTTCACAGGTGTTGTTTTGTGTGGTAGAGGGTCGCTGTCATTGATGCGTTTTACACCCTGGGCCGTTGTTTTGATATTCCGCTGAAGTATACGCTGTGACGTAATAACTATTTTTTTTCCTTTTTTTCGAGGGAAGGGGTGGGGGTCAGAGGGCCTAGGTATAAAGCTCACGGCTCGCCACTGTTAAAATGCAACGGAAAGAAATGCTCCTTCAAGACGGGAATGAAAGGATATAAATCATGATTTATTTATAAAAGATCTGTTTCAGTGCAAACACTTGCAAAATATAATTTGGTCCCCAAGCAGTCATTACTCTTCTAAAGAGAAACTTCAGTATTTTTCCTGAACCGTGTCAGATGTATATTGGGGAAACAGTTTTTGAAATGAGTCCAGTATTATGTAAGCAACAAAAAGCGCTATCTATAGGGGCCCTTTAGAGCAAAGACACCCTGAAATAAACATTTGAACAGTAACTCTCACTCAATACCGAACCAATTATACATTTGGGGTTGACAAATAATGAAGTTTCCCTTTTAAAATACATACATTATATTAGAGTGGAGTTGAATATGTATAGCATCTAATAGAGAATTGTCTTTAATGTTGGCACATCAGGAAACTTAGTTTTTCAGTGCTTTGGATTGATTGGAAGTTGAACGAAAACTAAAAGCTTTAACGGGTAAACTGCAGTACCTAATAGCTTTTATGACGTATAATTTAATGTCATTATTTCTGTCATTGATCCCAGACAGGACGGTATGAAATGTTGTCGTCTTCAGGTTATTTTCCAGCCACCTGTAGCATTTCCTCCAAAGTCAGCAGTTTTTCTCGGGGTTTCCCGATCGCCGCCCCCCTCCGAACTTCCTCACTGTCAATCTTCTCCCACTCAGAGAAAGTCACTGGTTTCACTCCTGCAGGACACGAAATCAGAGTCAGTAACATGCATTTACTAAATTAACCCTGAGCCTCGGAATCTAATTAGATCTTAAATTATTATGTTTTAAGGCATATAGCACATTTATTATTTCTAAAGTTCAGTATACTAGTGTGTAGCCAAAACACACAGAGTAAGACCTTTAAGGATTAAAATGTCCTTAAGTGCATAACATCTGACTTTTTCCATCAGATTCTCTCATGTTTGCCCTATGGGATAAATACATGGTTCCCAAAAACATTGGACTCCTTTGTTTACTTCCAGAACATAGTGACATCACTATGAAACACTCACGCTCCTATTGGCTAGCGCTCCAACACATTGTACGTGATAGGCTAAGGGGCGGGACAGCTCTATACACCTGAACATCAGCAGGAGAGGACTCTTTAAAGTAGAGACACTACATACTGATATACACCTGAACCTCAGCAGGAGAGGACTCTTTAAAGTAGAGACACTACATACTGATATACACCTGAACATCAGCAGGAGAGGACTCTTTAAAGTAGAGACACTACATACTGATATACACCTGAACATCAGCAGGAGAGGACTCTTTAAAGTAGAGACACTACATACTGATATACACCTGAACATCAGCAGGAGAGGACTCTTTAAAGTAGAGACACTACATACTGATATACACCTGAACATCAGCAGGAGAGGACTATTTAAAGTAGAGACACTACATACTGATATACA